CCAGAGCTCGGCTCCCACATTCCAGACTCACAGAAACCGTGAGACATAGTAAATGATTATTGTTGTTGTTTTTTTTTAAAGTTTTGGAGTAATTTGTTAACTAGCAATCGATAACTAATGAATATGCAAATCTCTTTGAAGGGACAAATGACTTCTGACCTCGTATTAATTATTTTTCATTTTTTCCTTAAGTAGTACAAACGTAAGGAATTTATATCCTTAGGCTCATCGCTTTTATACAAAAGAAATTTTAAAATCTAATCTAGTACAGACGCTACAACAAAACAATCCAATAAAAAGCCAGTCATTTTAATAGAGGATCGTTTTGCTGGAATTAAACTGGTACTGACGTGCCTAAGACATCTCCTCTCCCGCCCGGGTCCCACTGCAGGTGCGCGCACCTGTGCTGCTCGCAGCCTCCCCGCGCCCGTTCGAAACTGGGGCACGTGGGACTTTACCCTCCATTGGACCGTAGCTGCCCGTCTCCACAGCCTGATCCCATGGGCGCGGCCTTACTCCTCCCGAGTTCCTAGCGGACGGAACCGGGCAGAGAGCCGGGTCCACCTGCACCAGAACTGATGATACTTGACGAGTCTTTCCTGAAGACACAGGTAACTGGGCTGCCTCGCCCTGCACTTCGGGCCAAGGAGACGTCAGCAAGCTCCCATCTCCCACACGAGATTGGCATTCAGCAGAAGGGAGCTCGGCGTGACTGAAAACGAGAGTTCTCCCTCAGATCTCCTTTAAATCTTAGGCAACTGGCACCCTTCACGTCCGCTGTGTTCCGGTCCCGGGGTTGGGGCGGCCCCTGAGCTCAGCGTCGTCCAGCGCTACCTCACCTCCGCCAGCAGGGGGCAGTAGGCGCCGAGAAGGGATGCACGTGCTCGGTGTGGGGCCTCGCGCTTCGTATCCGCGACCGCTAAGCGTGACGGAAGAGAGTGCGCAGCGTTATGGGAAGAGTGTTTCTTAGCGTCCGGGTCGCGGCGGCGCTCCCCGCTTGAGCCCAGAGCAGGACTTCAGCTCCCGGCTGGCCCGCGGGAGCGGGAGGGGACGCGAGAGAAGGGGGCGGGGCCAGTGAGAGAAAAGGTAGGCGGGCCTGAAGGGGGAGGCTCAGCCGAGGGGGCGGGGCTCTGGCTGCCGCCCGCGGTCTGAGGAATCTGAGGCGCGGGGCCGCGAGCGGAGAGGCCCTTGGCCGGCGGCAGGCCCGAGGAGGGCGTTCCCGGAGCGGTTGCGGGGGAGTCGGCCACCACTCCTCGACCTGTCTCTGACGGCTCCCTCCGTCTCCGCCGGGACGCGGGAGAGCCCGGCGCGCGGCGGGGGCGCGAGGTGGAGCCGGCGGGGGCGGCCAATGCGAAACTGGCTGGTGCTGCTGTG